CCATCTCTACTAAAAATACAAAAAATTAGCCAGGCGTGGTGGCACGTGCCTGTAATCCCAGCTACTCCAGAGGCTGAGGCAGGCCATCTCTACTAAAAATACAAAAAATTAGCCAGGCGTGGTGGCACGTGCCTGTAATCCCAGCTACTCCAGAGGCTGAGGCAGGGGAATCGCTTGAACCCGGGAGGCGAAGGTTGCAGTGAGCCGAGATTGCACCACTGCACTCCAGCCTGGCAACACAGCAAGACTCTGTCTCAAAAAAAAAAAGTCAAACGTAGAATTCCCATATGATCCAGTAACTCCACTCTTCAGCATACTGCCAAAAGAATTGAAAACAGGGATTCAAACATGTACAAGCACATTCGTAGCGGCTCTGTTCACAGGAGCCAAAAGGTGGAAACACCTCCAATGTCCATCAGCAGATGACTGGATGAAAATGTGGTCTATCCCGGCAGTGGAATATGATTCAGCCAGAAAGAGGAATGAGGCGCTGACACAGGCTACAACACAGGTGAGCCCTGAGGACGTGCCACTGGGGGAGGAAGGCAGGCAGGAAGCACACCTGTTGTCTGGCCCCAGGTACGTGGCATGTTTGGAACAGGTCAATCCACAAAGACAGAAGGGAGATCAGTGGCCACCGGGTGGTGGAGGAGAAATGGGGAGGGACAGCCTACCACATGGGGTTTACTCCAGAGTACTCCAGAATACTGGAAACATTCTGAAACTTTCACACCTGTAATCCCAGCACTTTGGGAGGCTGAGGAAGGCAGATCACGAGGTCAGGAGATCAAGGCCATCCTGGCTAACACGGTGAAACCCCGTCTCTGCTAAAAATATAAAAAACTGGCTGGGTGTGGTGGCTGGCAACTGTAGTCCTAGCTACTTGGGAAGCTAAGGCAGGAGAATCAATTGAACCTGGGAGGCGGAGGTTGCAGTGAGCTGAGATAGTACCACTGCACTCCAGCCTGGGCGACAGGGTGAGACTCTGCCCCAAAAAAAAAAAAAAAAAAAAAACAAAACTCCTTTGCAGCCGTGCAGCAGGGCACTGTACTCCTAGTGGGGAGGTTCTCCCTGCAGAGATGTGCTCTGGAGGGCAAAATGGCACTCAGGGAGGGATGCAGGATACCTCAGGGGCTCTGTGGGCATCAGCAAGACTGGCCTGGTTTACGAACGGGGGTCCCAATGTCCTTCTCACTCTTTTTTAATTTTTATATATTTTTTGAGACAGAGTCTCATTCTGTCACCCAGGCTGGAGTGCAGTGGCCCAATCTCGGCTCATTGCAGCCTCCACCTCCCAGGTTTAAGCAATTCTCATGCCTCAGCTTCCTGAGTAGCTGGAACTACGGGCGTCCGCCACCATACCCGACTAATTTTTATATTTTCTGTAGAGACAGGATTTCACCATGTTGGCCAGGCTGGTCTTGAACTCCTGACCTCAGGTGATCCACCCACTCTGGCCTCCCAAAGTGCTGAGATTACAGGCGTAAGCCACCTCACCTGGCCCCAAAGTCCTTCTCAAATGTGTCCTGGTGTGAACCACAGATGGTCACTTTGGCTCCCCCAGGGCCCAGTGCCACCAGCTGCCCCCTCCTGCCCCAGGAAGCAGGCCTACCTGAGTGTTGCACATCTCGGCCTGGAGGTCAGCACCAACACATGCACGCCCCCCAAAGGCAGGTCTGAAAATGGCCAGGAGACAGGAGGGTGAGACAGGAGGGTGAACACTGCCTTCAACTAGGGAATGTGGTGTGGCCACCCTCCCTGACAGAAGAGCATCCCTCCCTGCGGTACCTGGGGTTGTTGCACTGCCGCCTCCTGGTGACCACACCTCCTCCGCAGGAGCGGGAGCAAGGACTTTGGGGACCCCAGCTAGACCAGTGCCCATGCACCGCTGCTATGGGGGTCAGCTCCACCAGGGAGCGGCAGCGACCCTTGGAACACCACTGCAAGGCAAGGACGGCTTAATCTCCCATCCCACAGCGACCCCACCACAGCGACACCCAACACACACAGAGAGTCCCCCAACATACTCAGGGGTCTCTCAGCACACACACGGACCCTACCCACAGTGACCCCCAAACACACACAAAGAACTCACCCATACGGATCCCCCAACACACAGGGACCCCCCCAACACACACAGGTAGCCCAGCAACATGGATCCCCCAGACCCACAGGGATCCCCCAATACCCAGAGACCCCACCAACATACACATAGAACCCCCCCAGGGACCCCTCAACACACGGGGATCCCCCAACATACATGCAAGGACTCACCCACAGGGGCTCTACCCTCACAGGGATCCCCTTACACAGGGATCCCACCCCGAGACACCCCATATCCATGAGGACCTTCACACAGGGACCCCACTCAAAGGAACCCCACACCCACGGGCACCCCTCATACAAACAGGCAGCCCACACTCCCATTCTGCATGGAAGCAAATGCTAAAGGAAAGAGTTCAGACCACCAACCCAAAGGACAGTCACCAAGGCCAACTCCAAGGCTCTCTGCCCCATACTGGTCCTGCCTCCCGACCTAGGAATAGGGCGGTCTGGCTGGAGGCGCCCACGTGCACGTGCTCACAGGAGCCTGCTCGTTCACTCTTGGCTCTGACCTTCTCCACGCCACATTCTGTCCCGTCCAGGAGAGGAACGAGGAGGCGGCTGCAGCTGCTTTGGTCCAGCGGGTCTGTGTGGCAGGAGAGGGCCTGGCACATATCCTAGGAGGATGGACAGGTGGCAAACTCAGGGGCCACCAGGGCCTTCCAGGCCAGTGTCCAACCTTAACTGTCCCTCCCAGATCACACGACACACCGACACAGCCAACACTCTGCACTGCGGGCACTGGTGCCCTCAAAAGACAAGGCATGACCGACCCATCGATGGGGAACCGGGACCATGACCAGGTCCTGCCACACTTTTTGGGGCCCACGGAAATGTGGTTTCTGTGTCTTTTTTCTTTTTTTCTTTCTTGTCACTGACTTGAAGTTCACCAGGGAAATGTTTTAATTTCTTTCTTTTTAACTTTTTTTTTTTCTGAGATGATTTCGCTCTTGTTGCCCAGGCTGAAGTACAATGGTGCGATCTCAGCTCACAGCAAACTCTGCCTCCTGGGTTCAAGCAATTCTCCTACCTCAGCCTCCTGAGTAGCTGGAATTACAAACACGCACCACCACGCCCAGCTAATTTTTTATATTTTTAGTACAGATGGCGTTTCTCCATGTTGGTGAGGTTGGTCTTGAACTCCCAACCTCAGGTGATCCACCTGCCTTGGCCTCCCAACGTGCTGGGATTACAGGTGTGAGCCACCATATCTGGCCTAATTTCTTTTAAAATCATAAGAAAAAAGGCCGGGCACGGTGGCTTATGCCTGTAATCCCAGGACTTTGGGAGGCCAAGGCAGGCGGATCACGAGGTCAGGAGATCGAGACCATCCTGGCTAACACAGTGAAACCCCGTTTGTACTAAAAATACAAAAAATTAACCGGGCGTGGTGGCAGGTGCCTATAGTCCCAGCCACTAAGGAGGCTGAAGCAGAAGAATGGCATTAACCCAGAAGGCAGAGCTTGCAGTGAGCTGAGATCGCACCACTGCACTCCAGCCTGGGTGACAGAGCGAGACTCCGTCTCAAAATAAATAAATAAATAAAATAAAATCAGAAGAAAAAAATGAATTAGACTGGGTGTGGTAGCTCATGCTGGTAATCCCAGCACTTTGGGAGGCCAAGGCGGGCAGATCACCTGAGGTCAGGAATTCGAGACCAGCCTGGCCAACATGATGAAACCCTGTCTCCACTAAAAAATACAAAACTTATCTGGGCATGGTGGCACATGCCTGTAGTCCCAGCTACTTGGGAGGCATAGGCCCAGGAATCGCTTGAACCTGGGAGGCAGAGATTGCAGTAAGCCAAGATTGTGCCACTGCACTCCAGCCTGGGTGACAGAATGAGACTCCATCTCAAAAAAAAAAAAAAGGTAAAAGAAAAAAAAGAAAAGAAAAAGAAAAAATGAACTTCCAGGTCCAAATTAATGTTGTAATATATAATATTAATAGATTTGCTGCTCAGGCATGGCTGGTGGCTCATGCCTGTAATCCCAGGGCTTTGGGATGCCCAGGTGGGAGGATGGCTTGAGGCCAGGAGTCCTAGACCAGCCTGGGTAACAAAGGGAGACCCCATCTCTACAAAAAATTTAAAAATTAGCTGGGCGTTGGGGCATGTGCTTGCAGTCCCAGCTACTCCAAGGCTGAGGTGGGAGGATCGCTTGCGCCCAGGAGGTTGAGGCTACAGTGAGTTATAATTGTGCTACTGCACTCCACCCTGGGCAACAGAAGGAGGCCCTGTCTCAAAGAAGAAGAAGAAAAAAAAAGACTCGGCCAGGCGTGGTGGCTCATGCCTGTAATCCCAGCACTTTGGGATGCCCAGGCAGGCGGATCAACAGGTCAGGAGATCGAAACCATCCTGGCTAACACAGTGAAACTCGGTCTCTACTAAAAATACAAAAAAATAGCCCACCACGGGCGCCTGTAGTCCCAGCTTCTCGGGAGGCTGAGGCAGGAGAATGGCGTGAACCTGGGAGGCAGAGCTTGCAGTGAGCTCAGATCGCGCCACTGCACTCCAGCCTGGGCAACAGAAAGAGACTCTGTCTCAAAAAAAAAAAAAAAAAAAAGAGTATTAAAATATAAGTCTCAATTTTTTTTATGGAGGAAGGGGCCCACCAAAGCAAAAGTGACTGGAGTCCATGAATGTCCTATGCAACCCTGGGAGGAAGTCTGTCTTTTGGGGTGCCTGCTCTCCTTCATCTCCCCTCCCTCTACCAGTCCCACTTCTGCTGTGGGTTCAGTTTGGAGGCCACTTCCTCCAGGCAGCCCTCCAGGCTGACTCCAGCCACAACAGATGGGAAGTCCTTGGTAACTGTTTAAGCTTGGTGTCCTTACTCAGCCAGGAGTCCTTGGGCACAGGGGCCCTCCCAGGACTAGCTACATAATTTGTGGGACCCAGTTAAACAAAAATGTTGGGGCTTTTGTTCAAACATTTTAAATAATTTCTAGAGGCCACAGACAGCATTAAGCTAAGCTGCCCTGGGGGTACCTCAGCCTAGCACCGCACCCAGCAGGTGCTCACGGTGCACGTTGGGGGGACTGAGTTGATGACTTGGGTGATGCCGAGGAACCTCATGGCCAATCCCAGGCCACTGCCGGCAGACTCACCAGGTGCTCCCTGGCGAAGGTGCAGGCGACTGCCTTGGGGCCGAAGGCCACGCGGCACTGCTCATTGGCGCTGTAGTAGAGGCCAGGCTGCGCCTCCGGCGGGCGCCCCGTGGACCCAGGCTGAGGCCGCGGGGGGTCCCACACGCAGCGCGCCCGTCCTGCGCTGCGACAAGGCCCGGCTCAGGCCCAGGGTGTGCACCGAGAGGAGGCGGGACAGAGGAGTGTGCACGAGGATGGAAGCGTTTGGAAGCGTGGCCTTTTGTGAGTGGGAACAGGAGTTGCCGGCCCGAGCCCCCCACCAGGAGCTGGCTCTGGGCTGGGACCAAGACTAAGGCTCCGGTCCGCGCGGAGGTGAGTGGCCAGCAGAGAGAGAGACAACGGAGGCACAGGTCGGAGTGGGATGGAGCAGATGCACGTTAGGCCCGGGAGCGGTACGGTGGGTGAGAAGGGGACGCAGGGGGTACATGTACGCGGGCGGGGGAGATAGGGGTGTGGGGCTGATGGAGCGTGGAGAGTGGACGGAGGGGTCGGCGCAGGTGGAGGCAGACGAAGGGTACGGGGGTGAATTGAGGGGGTGGGCGCAGGAACCGGGTGGGTGCAGGAATGGGGTGGGCGCAGGGGGCTGAGATGGAGGGGTGGATGGAGGAGGGTAGGATGCAGGGGTGGGTGTAGGGAAGTGGGAGAGAATGTGGACGGAAGGGTGGCCGCAGAGGGTGGGACAGCGCAGGGGGAGGTGCAGGGGGTTGGGCA